TTTCTAAATTCACTTTTGATGTAAACAAGAACTGTCAATAAGCAAGATTATTTACTATAATTTTTTTATTTACTATTATTATTATTTAATTTACTATTTATTATTTAATATACTTTTTTACTATAATACTGGGTTGAAATTAACGTGGGTAATTGCCATTTTTGGCTTGAATCATAGAATCGTTTAGGTTGGAAACCCCACACCGGGCAGGAGCACAGAATTCTGCCTCCACTAAGCAGTGATGTGCAGCAGATAAAACACAGCCTGTTCTCATTCTACCTGACACTGGCATAGGTTCATCCTCATCATCATCAGGAGGAGGAGGGCCTGGAGGTGTCCTTGGTCCCCTAGGTTGAGGTCTTGGAGGGCTGCCATTGAACTGGTCTTCTTTCTCTCCATCAACTAAATTTATTGTGAAAATAAAAACTTGCATTTAATGGAATCACAGGAATAGAAGCAGAAAATTTTAGTTTTTCAGTGCTCCTTTTGACTAAGGAACACCTTCATTTCCCAGCTGTTATTCAATCTGTATTCTGCATCTGCACTATGCCAGGCAGTTTTCTGAATTCACTTTTGATGTAAACAAGAACCATCAATAAGCAAGATTATTTACACTATTGATGTTTTTTCCTATAATACTGGGCTGAAATTAACGTGGGTAATTGCCATTTTTGGCTTTGACACTAGCAATATTATAACTCTACCAATAGTATCTGTTACTTTAAAAAAAAGTTTACATTTTAATCAACTGTTTTTTACAGTTTACAACTGTTTTTTACTACACAGAGTATTCAAATTTTGCAGCCCAATAGTTGTACCTTGAACAAGAGAGTTCTAATTTTAAACCTAAAACCAAAATTGAAGCAGAAACTTGCTCATAGATTGTATTCATGGCCATTCTAATACCAAGGCAAGTAACCCACTCTCAAAAAAGCACTAGACAAGAATCTACTTAAAACTATTCAACATAAGTCTAAAAGAAAATACAAAATTAAAGGATAAAGACATAAAGGTAGAAAAATAAAGCCACTGAAATCTAAAATGTAAAAGAACTGGATTTTTTTAAGATGGGATAATATAATATTGATTAAAAAAAAAAAAAAAAAAAATCTATGTCTTCCCACAAGGCTTACCATGTTTTGGGTTTCTTTTCAAACCAGGCTGTTGCTGGGGAGGTGGTGGTGGAGGTGGGGGTGGAGGAGGTGACTCTCTCTCATGACTTATTACCCTGTCAACTGAGCCATATATTGCCAAAGTCAGACAGTTGTACCACCCTCTTAGGACCAATCCATCTGTGTTGACCTGTTTTTTTTTAAAAAGAAAAAGCACTTAACACAAGACAACTTCTGAAAAGTTATTTTAATACCACTGTATCAGTATCTTCATAAAAGAAAGAAAGGAGAACCAAACATTGAAGTACCTCTTTACCCTACATTTTGAAAACTGAGAAAACTTTAGATTTATCAATCATTACAACAAACAAATAGTCTTTTTCTAAGAGCATTCAATTCATTGCAATATATTGCCTAATCTGCTACAGCCTATTAATGAAAACAAGCCACTACCATGGCTCAAACAAACACTGATTTGAATGAAATAAACCTAAACAGAACTGAAGATGATATGCTTAGCTGTGGCCTGTAGCCACAATGTTCTGATTCATCTTTGCTCCTAAGTAGTGGATAGTTCTGTTGGTAATCTCCATAGGAACTGTCAAGCAATCAAATCTTCTACAACTCACGCCACTATAGATGCAGACCCCAAAGTAATGAGTATCTGAACTACAGGCAGGTTTTAGAATAGAGAGCTTACACAATAAATGTTTTACACAGTGCTAACGCACCACACACAACCATATTTATACCTAAATGACAGACTTGTAGAAAAGAGGTTTAAGTCACATTGCATTACCTTTGCATTGGGTCTGAAAATAATTGACGTGTTTTCATCATATTCCAGGCTATCAAATAAAACACAGAAAGTTAGTTTTCCATTAATATAAAGCATGTTTGAAGAAATTGAACACAGCAGTACTAAACACATAAGCCAATAACAAAACACTGAACAAATATGTGCTCTTAAAAACAAGAATGCAAAATCACTTATTTTAAAAATACTTTTCATTAATATATAGATGGGCTCTGTAAGTTTAAAAATAACAGAATCTTTTCTTCTTTTAAGCATGAACCTCTGCCCTCCCACACAGATTGGAGGAAAAGGACAAGAACACAAACTAGCAAAAACCAGACCAAACATGAAAGTCATGGGAGACACAAGATTTTCTGTTGTGCATTTTCTGCACTGAAAAATTCTCAGAAAGAAAAGGTAGACAATGAAGTCATGCAGTAATCTTGAAAGTACTTACCTCCCCAGCCTATCAAAAACAGGGGCACTTGGCTTGCTGACATTGTTGAAAAACAAGTCCAGTTGAAATGTATGTGGAGATGTCTCTCTGGAAACAAAACAAAAGGAAAAATTGAATCTGTTGACCTCCTTATCAGAATAAGTAGGACTAACAAGGAAAAAAAAAACAATTTTAAATTATACTGTTTAAATAATTCCCAAAAATAATTACAAGTTCAGCACACAGAAATGCATTTTACCTTTTTATATAGGAGGTTCTATTGAAGTATATAAGTTCAAGAAAAAAATAACAGGAAGGTATTCCTGAATCAGATACTTCTGAAAGTGAAAAAAGTGAAAGTGATCGGTATCTTTCACTTACCCATAAGCCCTGTTGTCAGGCAAACTTGTGTGAGCTCTCACTCCTGGAGGAATAACACGTACTTCATTTATGTACACCACGCATGGAAAACGAACTACATCTATATTGGTGCTTTGCTACAAAACAAAGAACAAAGAAAGTCTAAGAAATGTAAAATGCAAACAACATAATGTACTCATATTCTTTATTAACCAAACCAAGGTTGCAAGCCTAATAATTACAAAATTCAATTCTGTAAAATGATAAACAGTGTTAAAACACTGTTAGACAGAAAAGGTTTTTTTATATATATAAAGTTCTGGCACTTTTCATATATTTAACACTATTTTTTATAAAGAGTGTTACTGGTTTATTTACACAATTGGTTCCCTTTATTTACAAGAATCTTTTAAACAGTAACAGGGTTCTTTTCTAGGTATGTTGGTAAAGGTAGAAACTGGAACTTAAATTATTAAAGAAAGACCGAGCATATTGTTCCCTTTTAATAAACCATATCAATTTTATAATTAAAGAAAATAGAAAACGTGTTTTAATTTTAAACATTAGCAAATGTTCTATTTCAATTGTAATATCAGAAATTATAATGGTACTATGAACCTGTTTTATTACACCTGTACAAAAATCCCATACAATGTTTATTTCTCTGATTTTGCAACAATATCTGAAAACCTTTTGCAAATAACGTTTCTGTTTACCACACAGAAATAGCAAGTATGAAGAAACATGCTTCAGCACCCCTAAAAGATGTTTGAGCAAACTAAGAAGTAATCATAGTCACAGTGATTTCCCATGTAGCAGCCACCAAAGTAGTGCTGAAAGTCTCCTCTCACTAGATTCACTATATCAAGTCTTACTACATTTATACATCATCTCTATCATTTATACATGTACAAAATAGTAAACCTAGATCTATGTCCAACTGTAAGCATATAGACTTTCTCACTGAATGTTTCCAGTTAGCAAATTGGATTAGCAAAGACTGCACTAGCAAAAATGAGTATTAAAATCTAAACTGATCTGCAGTCAAAAGTCTTATAACTTTCGTCACAGTCAGAAAGCAAAAGAAACCTCAAAATTACCAGCATAAGGCAAGAAAGTACTAAAATTTTTTAGAAAACTAATAAACAAAGAAATAGTCACAAGTAAAGTTTTAAACAGAATATTTAAGCGTGTGCTTTTGGGCACATATTACTGTCACTGAATAAGAAATCTACACATATGTCCTTTAGCACACAAATAAAACATCTCACCCTAAGGGGTGACATATTACACGCAGGATGGCAGAACAAAAAAAGAACCCCACTATGACAGGGGGCACAGCTTTATGAACAGGAATGGGGTGACTGTAGCCTGGGAGGAGTGACAGCTGTGGGAGCTCTTTGCTTTGCCTTTAAAAAAGGTTATATGTGTCACGTGGGAGACTCGAATTTCTGGAGGAAAGGCTGGTGCTGAGGAGGCTGCATCCCCAGCATCACTGCCCAAAGACAAATTCCTGCTTAAATAATATGGGATTATGCCCCAACAGCCATGCACAGACATCATCAGGATGGCAAGTGAATCCAATCCACTTTCCCTCTAAAACATTAAAAAAAATAACTGCATCAGAACTGCTCAACATGTGTTAAATTGCATAGCTAAGCCAAGTAAGTAATTTTATCAGAAAACTTGGCAGCACTTTTCAAGAACTGCAAGTTCCAAAGCAAGACTCCCCTGACCCATTTAGCTGAACATAAAGTATAACATAAAGAAAGCTCTTTTGCAACGCGTAAAATACATTTTGTTTTCTTTTTTTAAGGAAAACTGAGTACGGTTCAGGTTTGGAAAACATCACTTGCAAGAATGAGAGTGTCAGAAAACATTATACACAACTAAAAACGTTCAATAAGAGAACATACTGTTCTGGAGGGGAAGAGGAGTGGCTTGTGTATGACAACTGACTTGCTGCACACTGTGCCACAAATTCACTTTTTGGAGAACACTAGTGTTTCCTACTGTCCTGGTTTTGGCTGGCATAAAGTCACTTTTCTTCCTATTAGCTGGTATAGTACTGTGTTTTGGATTTCGTATGAGAAGAATGTTGATAACTCATTCATGTTTTAATTGTTGCTAAGTAGTGTTTACACTAGTCAAGGACTTTTCCAGCTTCCCATGCTCTGCCAGGAGCACACAAATTTGGGAGGGGGCACAGCCAGGACAGCTGACCCCAACTGACTATATTGGCTATAATTGGCTATTCCAGGCCATATGACATCACGCTCAGTATGTAAGCTGGGGGAAGAAGGAAAGGGGAGGATGTTCGGAGTGATGGTGTTTGTCTTCCCAGGTAACAGTTACACATGATAAAGCCCTGCTTTCCTGGAGATGGCTGAACACCTGCCTGCTGATGGGAAGCAGTGAATGAATTCCTTGCTTTGCTTCTGTGTGCGGGTTTTGCTTTCCCTATTGAACTGTCTTTATCTCAACCAACAAGTTTTCTCACTTTTACCCTTCTGATTCTCTCCCCCGTCCCACTGTGTGGGGAGCAAGCAAGCGGCTGCATGGTGCTTAGTTGCCAGCCGGGGATTAAACCACAACACCTACCCAGGGGAACAGCAGTGGTTAGTGTTGCCTGCCCAATACTGTCTTAAATAGTCAAATTAAAAATGCACATGGGTCTCCCTGTACCTAGCACCTAGGACAAACTCCTGGATAGCTTCCCATTTGTTTTTAACTGCAGCTTCAGCTCCAAATGCTTCATTTTCTTTCC